TAAAGTTTTGAAAATCAAAATAAATGTCATATCATCATGTTCCTTTATATATAATCATAAATGATGAACCATCATTATTTAAAAGACAATTTCGACTATTAAAAATTTAATGAGATTTAGTTGAAATTGTTGAGTTTAGCTATGATGCTTGATGCTTTGCCCTGTTTTTATTGATGTAAGTTCTCACTTTTATTTGTTTCTTTATCAATAAAATCTTCTTTTGCTGATAAATAAATAAATAAAATAATAGGACTTGAAGGTCCAAAAAATCTTAGTTAAGACTTAATGGATTATAAATTTATAAATTAAGATTTGTATGTAAATGCTCCTTGAATTTATAATGTAAGGGTTTTTAGTCCAAAAAAAAAAGAAGTAAATATATGCTATTAACAAAAATTGGAATAAGTTGAAGGATTATATTTTGACATTGTTGAATTAAAAATTTTGCCTCTAAATTTATTTATTTATTTATCAGTTGAAATGCATGACAAAAGGAGAGGGAGAGACGGAGAGAGAATGAATGATACTTGATAATTTTTATTGGAATAAATTCCTTCAACTTCTTTCCTGTTTACCTTTTTTCCATATTACTGATCAATTTTAAAATATGGAGAAAGAAAGACAAGGGGGAACTGAGAAATTGAGCAGAGCCTTCGAAGAGAGAGATCCAATGATCCTAGCCCTCTCTCTCTCTTCCTTGTCTCACCTTCTCACCCACTTTCTGACTCACATTTTATTATCATTATTATTATATTGGTATCCATACTAAGGATTACGACCTGCTTATCAACCCCATATGCCAACTCATGTTCAATGCACATCTAACACTTCATTATCTTCACAGAACTTACCTACATGACATGCATGCACCTCTTCCATCTATCTCTCTCTCTCTCTCTCTCTCTCTCAAAATCACTCTCATAAACCATAGTTTTAATTTTTAACAAATTATAAATTTGTCTCTCACTTGAATTGTTCTTATTATGTTAGTTTAATATATTCTGTTTTAGATTTTAAAATTTCATTATTATATGTTACAATTTTTTTTTAATCACGCAGCTTAAAATTGTGTTTTACTTAAAATGTGACAAGATTTCCATCATCACGCGGTTTAAAGTCGTATTTTACCTAAAGCAAACACGATTAAGACAGAGACAAGTGATGTAACAAATGCCTATAGGGGATTCATGCATGTGATCTACCCATATTCATCAATGCAAATATCAGATGTTACATGTTAAACTCATTTATGATGAATAATAAATAAATAAATATCAAAAAATCTAGGGCAACAGTCACATGAGTGGTTAAAAATTCAATCTTTGATTATTCTTCAAAGTTGATTAGAGATATTTTGTCGCCAAATTCTTGTTCACTAATTTCAATGTATTCTTAATTGTACGATATGATAAGAATTTCCATACACAATTACACACGGTTTGAGAGATTAAAATTCTGAAAACAAAAAAAATCCGTACCTTAAAAGTTGTTTATATATGTAGTAGATAATCAACCCTCGTACTCAAATGCATTTAACCATGCATGTAATGTGGATTGCTTCCCAGTTGGTTTGTGGTATCTGACAAATATGTCATCAACAATTAGGTGTTGATCTATGAAGCATGGGTACTTCGAAAAACAAACCGTACTCGTACCGGGTACTTACCGGCGTATGGTACCTCTTATGATACTTCTTCATACGTACCGGGTACACGAAACACGTACCCAAATTTTTTCTTTTTAATTTTTGGTGTACCCATACGTACCTACTATATACTCAAGCCGTACCGTACTTCAGTTGAAATAATATTTTCTTCTACTATAGAGATAAAATCCCTTTAACTAGACGTCTTTTTTATTTTTAGTTTTATACTTAGCATGTTTTTAAAATTAAACTATGGTTTGTAAAATATATTGACATTTAATTTTGATTTATATATTTACTTTTGACATTAAATGTTAATTATAGGTTAAATCTTAACAAATTAAACCATTTAATTAATTTTACATTACTATAAATTAAAAATAAATATTTTTTTACAAGCGTACCAAGCCGTACCCGTACCTTACTTTTTTTGAATTTACCGTATCGACGTACCCGTATCGTACCAGTACCAGTACTCGTACCCGTACCCGTGCTTCATAGGCGTTGATAAATTAAAGAATTTTTAGATTGGGGTTTTGGCTCAATTCTGATAACCAAACTCTCTCATCACAAAAAATTGTTTAGAAAAGTCGTATGGTGTGAATGTCGTTATCTATGGCATTCTCTTATGATATTCTTTATTGTGTTCACACAATTTTCAAATTGAGCCTACTGGTTTTTAACCAACATGCATGAACAAGAGTCCACTAACTATAATTAATTAATTAAATATAATTGAGTGTGTGTGATAATTTTCACTGTCAGAAGCATTTCCACACCAGTGGCCCAGTGGGTGATTTGTGGCAGTTATATGTTATTTGAATTATTTTTATTTTTAAGATCTATGCAGGGATTTGTTCACTAAGGTGGTGGTTGATAAAATTGAAAATTAAAAGTTAAAAATTAAGTATTAAAAATTGAATGTTAGATTTATTAAGTTAAAAAATTATATGATGAAAGTCTAAAGGATCAATTAAAAAAGTTATTTGATATGTACAATATTAAGTATAAAATTTGTTAGTTTTAAATTATATCTTTCAATTTTTCTATTGTGATTGTGATGTGGAGGTGGATGAGGTGGTCATGACAACGGCAGTGGCTATGGTGCCAATGAAAACAGTGGTGGAGATAGAGGGAGGTGACAATAGTGGTGTAATAATGGTATTGTGGCAGTGGAATATATTGGTGGATATGGCAATAGTGGCAATAAAGGTGAAAGGTTGTACTAGTTGTAGTGATGGGATGATTTTAAATAATAGTATCGGGATATATATCAATATTACAGTCATAAATCGACTGATATTGAAGGGTAACGAATAATATTGACTAATTTGTCAGTGAGTAACGCTGACAGAATGCTAAATTCCCGTTACGTAACAACTGATACTATTGGAAATTGTCAAACAATAGAGTTTTTACAGAATTTTCCAATGTGTATTCTTCTCCAAAACAGAGGCAATATATAGATACTATTACATCCTAAAATTAGGTCCTAAAAATAGGAAAACAAATCATTTCTATATTTATATACATCATTGCTTAGCTAACCGGATTTCTAGGATCAATTAGAATCAATCTAATATTGTGTACAGAGCTCATGCACACTTTACCCCTCAAGTTGGTGCATAGATGTCTATCATGCCCAACTTGTCAATTATACCATGAAACACCTTTCCTGAAACGGCCTTTGTGAGCATATCAGCTAGCTGACTCTTGGATTGAATAAATGGAAATTGTAAAATATTTTCATCGGAGTTCTCCTTGATGTAATGGCGATCAACTTCAACATGTTTACTGCGATTATGTTGAACAGGATTTTGTGCAATCTCAATGGCTGCCTTATTGTCACAGTGAACAGGAGGTAGTGTGTGCCTCCCTCTTTGGCATGAACATGCCTCGATTTTATTGGGGTGAGGTTATGAAATCTGCTGCCTACCTCATCAATTGAACACCTTCTCGAGTAATAGACTTTCAAACTCCTCAACAAAAACTGCAATCCTTACTTTTAATTTCCCATCTTCCGAATCTTGAACCTCGAGTTTTTGGATGTACCGTGTATGTTCACATTCCAAAAATCTTGCGAAACAAACTTGATCCATGTGCAAAACAATGTGTCTTTGTTGGTTATTCTGACTTTCAAAAAGGATATAGGTGCTATGATCCACAAACCCGAAAACTCCATATGACTCTCGATGCCTCTTTCCTTGAATTAGAGCCTTATTACTCCAGAGGAGTCTCTAGCAATTCTCTTCAGGCTCAAGTGAAGAGAATGGCGGAGGTGATGAGTTTACCGAGTTAGAAGAGATGAATGAATTTTTTATGCAACAAGGTTGTAATGATGTGCAACAAGGCTATGATAATAACCATGAAACGGAGAGTGACTCATTAATTTCTCCTGAAGAGGCATTGGTTTTACCTGACATAATTGAATCATCACCGATACCCTCAGAGTTGCCTCCGTCTACACCATTAACCGAAGAGTCAACCCAGAATGTTCCTCATCAGGTAACTACAAATCATGTGTTTGGAGAGTCTAATGAAACATATGTTCCTGCAAAAAATATAGCTTCTAGATATCCATAAAGATTGAGTTAAAAAAAAAAAAAAAAAAACCAACACGAACCTGATTGTAAAGCCAAGACCAAATACTCAATTAACAACTATGTGTACTCTCATAGGTTGACTGAATCATATGCATTTACTGTTAATCAATTATCCATAGTTTATATTCCTAGTAATGTGTAGGATGTATAGGCTAATCCAAAATGGAGAAAGGCGATGAATGAAGAAATGAAGGCTTTGCAAAAGAATGCCACTTGGGAACTTGTTCCACTGCCTATAGGAATAAAGACAATTGAACGTAGATGGGTGTTCACAGTGAAACTCAAACTAGATGGAAGTACTGATAGATATAAAGCTTGGCTAGTTGCGAAGGGGTATACGCAAAGGTATGGAGTAGACTATCAAGATACTTTTGCACCAGTAGCCAAGATCAATACAATTCGCATTCTTATATCTATAGCAGTAAATCGAGACTAGCCTCTGCAACAATTTGATGTGAGAAATGCTTTCCTCAATGGAGATTTGGAAGAAGAGGTCTACATGGAGCTACCACCCAGGGTTAAAAGTAATTCTTCGTGTAAAGGTGAAGTCTGTAAATTAAAGAAGTCATTGTACGGGCTAAAACAGTCACCTAGAGCATGGTTTGGGAGATTCTCGACTACAATGAAGGAGTTTGGCTATAAGCAAAGTAACTCAGATCATACTTTGTTTATAAAACACAAAAAAAGGAAAAGTAACTGCTTTAATTGTGTATGTTGATGATATGGTTTTGACAAGAGATGACTCATGCGAAATGAAAGCTTTACAGGAGTATTTAGCCACTAAATTTGAAATGAAGGATCTTGGGAAACTTATATATTTTTTGGGAATTGAGGTAGTAAGATCGAAACATGGAGTTTTTCTTTCACAACAAAAATATGTGTTAGATCTTCTAACCAAAACCGGAATGCTTGGTTGTAAACCAGCAGAGACACCCATAGAAATGAATCATAAGCTCGAAATTCTCCCCTATCAAAACCCAACAGACAAGGGTTGTTATCAGCAATTAGTTGGAAGATTAATCTGCTTATCACATACAAGGCCAGATATAGCATATGCGGTGAGTGTTGTGAGCCATTTCATGCATGCACCAAGTGAAGCACATATAGAAGCGGTCTATCAAATCTTAAGATGCTTAAAGAGTGCTCGAGGAAAAAGTTTGTTGTTCTCAAAAAATGGTATCTCTAACATTGAAGGATACACAGATTCTGATTGGGCTGGTGATCCGACAACCAAAAGGCACACATCTGGCTACTTTACTCTTGTGGAAGGTAATCTTGTCACTTGGAAAAGCAAGAAGCATAAGGTAGTAGCAAGATCAAGTGCTGAAGCCAAATTTCGAGGTATGGCTCATGGTGTATGTGAATTGATATGGATAAGGAATATACTGAGGGACTTAGGGATTGACTACGCAAAACCTATGAATCTTCACTGTGATAATAAGGTAGCCATTGAGATTGCACAAAATCTTGTTCAACATGATCGCATTACATGTTGAAGTTGATCGCCATTTCATCAAGGAGAACCTCGATGAAAAGATTATACAATTTCCATTTATTCAATCCAAGAGTCAACTGGCTGATATGCTCACAAAGGCCATTCCAGGGAAGGTGTTTCATGGTATAATTGACAAGTTGGGCATGATAGGCATCTATGCACCAACTTGAGGGGGAGTGTGTGCATGAGTTGTACACAATATTAGATTGATTCTAATTGATCCTAGAAATCTGGTAGCTAAGCAATCATGTAAATAAATATAAAAATGATTTGTTTTCCGATTTTTAGGACCCAATTTTAGGGTGTAATAGTATCTATATATTGCCTATGTTGAATATTTGACTTTGATGTTCTTCAATAATTTGTAGTTGATTAAACTTATTCTTAAGTTTTTCTTTAAGTTTATATTTATTAGAATAATGACCTTTTTTCCACAATTGTAACAAGTAACATCTTTGGTAGATTTTGACTTCTTCTTAAAATGATTAGTTTGTTTGTGATATTTCTTTTTTGGTTTAGCATAATACTTATCAGGTGATTTGAAAGGTGAATATTTCTTCCTATATTTAGCAGAGTATTTGTGTGAAGATCTCTTTTTATTATGTTTGCGTTGTGATGGTGCAATAGGAGGTAGACCATATTGTTCGCAGAAATTTCCTAATTTATATTTAGCTTTATGTTTATCATTAGCAGCTTTTTGACTAAGTTTCAAATCTATACACATTTAATCCTTATTTTTGAACTGTACTAATGATGTCACCATAAGTTAGATTATCATATTATATAATACCGGTAGGTTGACTGAGAACATCTATAATCTTATGGGAAAAAAGACTTAGTAATCTATTGATGAATATCTCTTTCCAAAATGACTTAGTGCAATCCTCTCTAAGCATAACACGAGAGGTAAAGACATCTTTATACCAACGAAAATCACTTAAAGTAAGGCAAGTGAGATTATTAAGTTGATCATGGATGTGAGAATGGATATTTGTATGTATTCCAATAAAATGTTTGACTATAGTAAATATTAAAGTATCAATACCATCAGGTTTACTTGATCCTATATCTTCATCAAAGATTGGGAAATCATTTTCATCTAATTGTTGAGCATGTTGAATACTTTCACGTGTATCAGAAGTTAGGTATTTATCCCACCAAGATTTGAGCATATCGGTAAATCCGAAGGTAAGTAGGGAGACTATTTCAGGTTGAGTGTAATCAGGATAAGTGATCTTCGAGAGAAGTAGAACTTTGATGAGTCTAAATTCGAATCGGTAATCGATGTAAAAAAACAAGAGTAAGAAAACAAAAACAAACCTCAGAAAAGTAATGAAGTCGTGCTCAGATCTAGAAACAAAACAACCAAAACAGAAGACCAACCCTGCCTTTCAAATAAAATTGATAATTTGAACAAAAACGAGAACTAATCACTGTTTTCTTCGTAGACCTATAGATACACATACATATGAGGCGGAGAGAGTGAGAAATGCACCACATCTACAAAAAACAAAAATGAAGGAAAAGATAGATCTGTTGTGAACGAAGCTTCAGATCTCAAATCGGCGAAAAAAATAAAAAAATAAAAATACGAAGTAGATGAAGAATCAACCCATAGACTTCATGATCTCTCTGTGTGTGTGTGAAAAATGATAGATCTATCTGATTGAAGCTTGACATCTCATATGTTAGATCTATCGTTAACGAGTAATGATAAATCGATTTTCATGATCCATTTTCTCACATCGAGCTTCAAACGAGAGAGAGAGTGTGCGAGAACTGCAAAATTAGGACAAAGGAGTGTTTGAGCTCATAATCAAAGAATATCACAAGTTAGAGCTCATAATCAAAGAATATCACAAGTTAGAGCTCATAATCAAAGAATATCACAAGTTAGAGCTCATAATCAAAGAATATCACAAGTTAGAGCTCATAATCAAAGAATATCACAAGTTAGAGCTCATAATCAAAGAATATCACAAGTTAGAGCTCATAATCAAAGAATATCACAAGTTAGAGCTCATAATCAAAGAATATCACAAGTTAGAGCTCATAATCAAAGAATATCACAAGTTAGAGCTCATAATCAAAGAATATCACAAGTTAGAGCTCATAATCAAAGAATATCACAAGTTAGAGCTCATAATCAAAGAATATCACAAGTTAGAGCTCATAATCAAAGAATATCACAAGTTAGAGCTCATAATCAAAGAATATCACAAGTTAGAGCTCATAATCAAAGAATATCACAAGTTAGAGCTCATAATCAAAGAATATCACAAGTTAGAGCTCATAATGGCAAAATCATGTTTTAAAGCCCACTTGAGGGTGGCAAATCTGCGCTTTAGCCTACTTGCGAGTATTTTTGACCAAAAGATTTTAGACTTTGAAACCCTCTTTTTCAAAATATTTTTGAAAAAGTTCTTATAGTGTTCCGACGCTCGCATTTTGTTAAATGTTGCGCCTTTCGGTAAACCGTGCAAGGACAAAGTGGAAATGAATGAAAGAGAGGTGAGCTCTTTGAAAAATCTTTCAAAACACCTTATTTAGGGGTTTGGATTTGAAGAAAAGAGGAGTGGAGAGAAGAAACCTAGTTGGGGAAGAAGATGGGCATGAACCGTTAAGAGAGAGTCGAGCAACCCTTGCTAAATCAGGCCTATCCGTTTGTACATTTGGATTTCAACTAAGAGGCCACCACCATTGGAAAGAAGACTTTTGAGCTTCATTTTACACTCAAGAATCTCCTAAAGCCGAGTCCGGATGGGGGAGCTATGGTTGGTTGAAGTTAGGCATCAATCCGATTGAGCCGAAAATGAACAGTCTTCACTAAAAGAGGGATATCTCTTAGCACACTTGGAATTTTGAGGTGAGGCTTAAATCATTGGAAAGCTTACTTCTGAGGCTTCAATTTAGACACAAGAATGACTACAAAGGAGTCCAGATAAAGGAGTTATGCCCGTTTGAAATCGGACCTAGAGAGTAGATTTTCTTTGCCGGCCACTGGTGAAGGGTGCCGGCCATTGGTGATGCAGTGCCGGCCATCAGTGATGGCCGGCCTGCCAACAATGTCCAAAACTCTGATATTTTGCAGATATTTCTCCTCCAGCTATTTTCACAATGTGACAACTGTCCTAGCTCAAATATTTTCGACCAAGCTCTTGTTTTTGCTATATATGGAGCCATATCTCTCATTTTGGGGGGGTTAGAAAATTTGGGAGCCTCTCTCTCTAAAAAATCCTCTCTCTCTACAATTTTGTGAGCAAAATCTCTACCTCTCTCTCTTTTGCCGTATTGTGCATAGAAGTAGAGAAACACTCTTAGTTTGCCTAGACACCCTTAATCAAAGTTGCATCTCTTTGGGCTGAGGTCCTTTGGAACTTATTTTGGGCTGATAAAGGCTGGTTTTGGCTCAGATTTTGGCTGGTTTTGTTGCTGTGCTTCAAGGTTTGGTGTTGCAACACACCAGTGCCTGGTAGTGGCACACTGATGGTCGGCACTCTTTCATTGTTGGCCGGTAGAGGCACACTCTTGGCCGGTAGGTGGCCGACAGCGACCATTCATGACCGGCAGGCCACTGGTGCACTCCCCAACATTGTTTTGGTAAGTTTCAGCAGAAAGATCTTGAAGACACCCTGCAAACAGAGCCTCTAAACAGCAAATCGGAGAGTTCTTCGGGACGGAAACCAAGCTTGCATCTCCTACTTCTTCAAGCAGAGCTGAGTAGTGTAGTTTAATGCTTTACTTGTTAGTTAGCATGAATTTGTAATTTAATTAATTTGTTTAATTAGTTAAAGTATTGTAATAATTAAGTAGCTTAGCTTTGCTATTTCTTTATTGGTTTTTAATAATTAGTCTAACTAGTTTAATTAGATTAGTTGGTTAGCTTAGCTTAAATAAGCTTAACATATTCATTCAAACCCTCCGTCGAGAGGGCATAATGTTGTAATAAGGGTGCGTGTGTGTGTGAATGTTTTCCAACCCCATTTCTTTCTCCCTTTTATTTATCCTCTTCCAATGGTTAGATTAGGGCATATTTCGATTAGCATACCTTATGCTTGCATGTTTGCATCATTCATTTGTATTGCATGCACCGGGCTCGGCGCATCATTCAAACTGCATTATATTTCAATACCTACTTGAATACATGTTTCAAAGCATGTTATCAAGTGTTGCATTCATATGCCATCTTAGATAGCCGAGCCTATTTAGTTGCATTTTGCATGTGTTGCATTAGGCATTTTGTATAGTTAGGATCATGCATGATTTCTAACTAGTTTTCTGTTTTGGCATGGAGTACTCGGTGAGTCTTTACGCTTTGGCATACTTGCATGAGTGTGAGTGTTGCCGTGACAACATGCTTACCATGAGGCTACTTGCTTAAATGCTAAACTGTATGAATGCCTGTGGGTGAAGACTTGATTGCCTGAATTAGAACAACTCGATGAATGGGAGTTTTTAAGCCCACTTTGCGAAGTGGCAAAATCATGTTTTAAAGCCCACTTGAGGGTGGCAAATCTGCGCTTTAGCTTACTTACGAGTAGCACTTTCAAACCATTTTTAAAAATAAACATGAATTGTTTTGTTCCAATTCTCGTGATTGAGTCTATACTTGTATGTTGTGTGCATCACATACTAAGTTAGCTAATAACTGGAATAAGAACACATGTGTTTATAAAATAATATATCATGCTTAGTAGAGGCCGATCCTTTGATCGGGCGAGCAGGGGTGCTCATTTCAGGACCTTCCCCTCTCGTACCCTAGTTCCCGAGCCGAGGTGATGACGGACACGTGGCCTTTGGCATAAGTCAGGGTTTCCTAAATTTCCCAAAACAAAATATTTATGTGACGACTCTGTAATCTGGCAAAGCAGTCCATGTTTGGCGCTTTTTCATTCAAAATTGATTTTTCAAAATCAATTGCCAGATTTGGACTCTTTGGTGATTTATCAGTTTTACATTGCACTTTGTGAGATTAGATTCAGAACCGTGGCAGGAGTCCGA